TTCATTGTAGCTAACGACCACAGTAGGAATTTTAATCGTTAATAATTAAAAGTTTCGTTCATCGTAGCTAACGACCACAGTAGGAATTTAATCGTTATTTATGATTAACTACGAAAGTACAATCTGAATATAACCTGAATTAAAGATTTATCAAGCTTGGTTTAATCCTTAATTTTATTTTTAAATTTGATTTTATTATCGAATTCAATCGCAGAGAATTTAAAATACAAAATAGAATTAAATGTCTTAAATTTTTATAACGTAATATTAAATTACGTACAGTCATGTATAATCCAACATCCACATAATGAATTTCAAATAACATAACGAAATTTGATGATTTTTAGCATCGTATGTAAAATTTGAAGTATCAATTTCAAAATATTAATTTTTCCGACATCGTTGCATCGCAAAAATTTTTCTGCAGAATTTTTTTTTTCTATCTTCAAATGGAACAGATGCAGTTTGGCCTAGCTAATAAATTCTTTCATACATGTAAATGGACAGATCGTCTGTTCTATTGATGCAGCTTTTTGGAAACTCTATCCTATCTCGCTCGTTCTAATTCGAGGCGTATGTTTCAGCCAAGGATTTAATGGAAGATCGTGCCTGCTGAAAAATATCTGCCAAGCGATGGAGTATGTGAGCGAGAGGAACGGGGTGATCGCGAAGATATTAAAATTGTTGGCCGGGTAAGTAGGTATTGATATTGATTTACGTGAATGGCACTTAATCGCCGCTAATTTCAGATCGTATACGAGCAATAGCTCGTCGACGGAGCCTTTTTACTGCGACGTCCACGTCAAAAATTGTCCCCTCGAATTTATCGGGATTGACGACTTTATTGAGCAATAAACCTAACCGTTTCCGAAAATTGTAGGTAAAGCTGAGGATCCATGGGACCGTACGTAAAGATAATAAAGTGATGTTTCTCCAATCGGATTCCTTTCTCCTTGTGCCTTGTTTGAGTGAATTAAATTCAAACGACTTTATTTTAAATCGAATCTGTTATTTATTTAACTTGAAATATCTCGAGCTTTTATCTACGTCCTAATTAACTCTTTGAGGGCTCACTAAATTTTAAAGGGCTCTATCAGAAAGAAACGTTTATTTTTACTTTATCACTTCACTATGTAAATATTTGTAAATGTGCACGAAAAATAATTTCTTATCTTTACATGTAGTAATAAATTTTACATGTAGAAATCCAGCTGTATCCAGTAACGTCGTGTTTGAGCAACGTAACAAACATGAGTACAGAGACGGATCTTAAGGGATTAATCAAACTATTTGACTTCAACAAATATATTCAAGTGACGGAACTAGGGATGAAAGAAAGCAAAAGAGTTTGCACATTAAATTATTCATTTTTGTAGATTTGTAGGTACTAATTTTTTTTTTTATCACTGTGTCAATTTGTTACCGAGAGACAAACTGAATTGGAAAAATTGGGAATGGAACGAGAATTATACATAACTGAAGGCTTTGTAGCAACGAAGAGGTAGTTTCAATATTTGAATTGAACTTGTTGAACGAAAGAGGAAGATATAATAAAAAGAGTTGAGAAACTGACAGTCAGAATATTATACCGACAAGGGAACATATCAAAGTGTCAATCATCGATTTAAAAAAAAATATTAATCCCATGAGTTCGTACAGTCATTCTATCTCGTTAAAGTAGATTTCACAGTCACAACTTTGCGGCCATTTTTTATCCCTTTAAAACGAGACGTTTATCGATGAGAAAAAAAAAAATTACGTTTGATGAAAACTATATTATATTTTAATTTCATCAAAATGAATGATTGATGCTTCGGTATATTCCCTCGTTACTTTCTTTTTTACGCTAGCCACGCAATTTGCAATATGTGACTGCTTTGTCAATTTTCGACATGTTTGTTTGGTTCTGTGTGTTTGTTAATTTAATGAACTAGAACTTCAACTCGAACCAACTTATTGATACTGTCTCGGCCCTTGAAAGTAAGTACAGACTTCATATTTAAAAGTGCAAAAACATTATTGTATACGAATATTATTTGACTCTGGATTTACGGCATATTTAGAGAAGTGATTTGTTATTTCATTGAGTTGAACTTGTTATTTTTATTTATTCATTTTAGATGGCATCAACCATACGTGTAGTCATTAGCGATTACAATACATAGTCTACAACATAAAAAATACATAGTACACATAACATGTAATGTAGGAGATCACTGCATGCAGGTATGAATGTGAAGTGCATGGAAAAGTCTGGGTGACTGGTGGTATGGTGTGTGTGCATCTTTGGGGCTGTCGAGCGAACAGTGTGGAGAAATCATAGTGTAGAGAGATAAATTACTTTTTACATATATCTTATTGTTAGTCGTATCTATTCTGTTGCCAACCAACCATTCCTACAGTAATGATAATTAAAACAATATAACATAATACATAATATATAATATACATCGCAAGCAGGTTATTCCATTTTGAAAATTGTTCAGTTTCATTTATTATTTATATACTGTTATTTATAGACTGTTTATTCATTCGTTATTATTTATATACTGTTATTTATAGACTGTTTATTTATTCGTTATATTGTAAAAATCATAGCGACACGGTGTATATTAATAAGCAATAATTGAGATGAAACAATACATTACGTTTAACAGAACGAAGAAACCTGGTTACGATGTTATAGTAACTTATAGTAAATTTTCAATATTTGTGTCTTTAGGAAAAAAGGCAAAGGAGGCACGATGCTTTTAATTTTCATTCATTTACCGAAATTGTTAAAGACTCAAAACCGTGTCCCTGTATAGAGCAGGAAACCGAACAAAAGATGGCCCCTTAAAATTTCCCTGGTTTTCAAATCGAAAACAGAAGTATCATCTTCCTCCTCCCTCCCCAGTCTCTCCCGTCGGGTGTACGAATTTCCAGTTCGAGGGTGGCGAAAGAACGGTCACATTCCACGACAGAACGGTTATAATTGCATCCATGTCAGGGGCCGGCGGCCACGCGTTAACGAAAAGCATTAATTTAGAATGCTTTGCGGTTTTCTTGCCAGCCAGCGTCGGGGGATGAGGCGTTGGTGTGTCGTGTTCGCGAGCGCAACTCCCATATGCAATTAACAGACGCTCGTTCCACCGCCATGGCCCGCGAAATGAGGAAATAAGTGTCGCCCCGGTGAAAAAGAGCTCTGCTCTCTCTCTCTCTCTCTCTCTCTCTCTCTCTCTCTCTCTCTCTCTGCCACGTTCGTTGGCTATCGAGTTTTTCCAGAAGGGCAACATTCTACATAGTGAAGACAGTATGAATTAATATAAGCGTGCATTTAAAAGTACAATGAGCGAACGGGCCCGTGTCTCTCTCCGCGTTTCGTTTACTCTGTACCTGGCCTATATTCCCAAGCAATCCTCGTCTGTCTTGGGTGAACGTGGTTTTGATTGTCGCGCGAAGTTTCGGACGAAATGCGCTACCACTACTCGGGGGAACGTGGCTTTTGGCTTGGATTATTTATCGTGGTAAGGAGAATAATACGACTTTGTTGCATATTAAAAAAAGTTAGCACAATGCGAAGAATGTAGCACGGCAGGTACATTTCTTTTTTTTTTTTTTTTTTGGTTTCTCGATTGTGGTGTTTACTTGATGATCGTAGAAATGCATTTTAATACGAGATACAGCAACGGACTGAACTTTAAGGTAATTAATCTTTTGGTAGATTCTTGCATTATGTTGTGAATACAATAATTAATGGATGTGTAACTAATATAATTGAACCGTGGATGTTTCTACAACTTCGTATTTTGATGAAATTAATTTGAAAAGAGATAATCTTGGTAAAAAAAACTGATTTACTAAATATTATACTAGTAAATGTTATTATAAGAAATATATATTAATAATTATACTAATTTAAATAATATTAAAATTAATATTAATAATTATATTATTAATATTAATGATATGTTATAATAATATTATAAGAAATATTACAATAAACTTGGAATAGTTCATTTTTAGCATGTAGTGTACATTTGAAATGTATGAAAATCAATAATCCATTCATCTACTTGTTTCATGATTAGTATTATATAATATTGTATTTACTCATGATATGTTATCATTTACAATATAACTGATATGTTCGCTGTGAATTAATTAATTAATTATATTCATACAAGTAACAGAAATTTTTTTGGAAACTAATATTTCGTGATATATTTTTTACTTTTAATAACTCCAGCATGTGTAATGACCGAGATCAGAGCAACAATAAAATGTGTCATCGTTAATATCCATGGATGATCGGATATCCGGGTATTCCTATATTTCGTTTAATAATTATTTTATTTGCCAACAAAAATATAAAAAAATTGTTCTGAATCTTCCTCTTTTGTGTTAAAACATCCAAAGTTTAAAATCTACAATTTCCGTGACGTTACTTCAACTCTATCATAAATAATTCCATTATAATCGACTACCGTGTCTGTTAAATTGTTTCTGTACATATCAAATTCAATGAGAAAGATTCGAGAAAATGTTGCAGGATATTTATTCTGTCCGTATTTCAAAGCACAAAGTATTTTAACACCATAATAGGCTAAAAATACAGTATTGAAGATAAATAAATAATCATTCCTTAAATCATTTTGATTCCGAACTATTTTTCATTACACTATACGAGAAAATCTAGGAACCAGTTCCCGTTCGCTGAAATTTGTTCGCGCAAATTATTGATGGCCATCGATGCTCAGAATATTCTTCGTTCCTCCAGCAAACCATCACGTCCGATATATACCCCTCTTTCATAATCCCCATAGAAACATGTTCGCGATCGTCATAACGAGCCACAGTGATTCGTCGGTTTACCGAACGAATTGTCGACTCGTCACAGACGCACACGGTTCATTAGACCGATGGAGAAACACAGAAGTTATTCCCGTTAGCCGACCCTGGAAAGTGTTTCGCGTTTGCTCGAAAAACAGCGCGGACGAACGGTCAGTGCGAAACGCATTCCAGCCACGTTCAAATCGTTCTGCGTATCGCGTTTCTCATTTGATCCAACGGAGTGAATTACTTGGAGGGGAGGATCGCTCGACACTTTCCCTTTCGACGTGGTTCTAAACGGGAATCGAGAAAAAAATAGAAAAAGGAACGCATGAGAGCGGAAGGTCGCGAAGGGATGCCAGGCATCCGAAGTCTTTTGTTCGTTTTCTGGTGCCTCGATGTTCTCGCGGCCTGTGCCACGAGCAACGATCAAGCGATCGACAACCCGAGGACACTGTCCAGGCGCAAGAGGTACTTGATCTTTCCGGAAGGCAGTAATCTGCAGGTACGCTGTGATAGCTATATTAGGCTAGCATATTCTTATTCTTCTATTGGGAAACAGATCACTTGAACATGTTGTATGACAGTTCTCTGATGAATAAAGCATATGAAGGTTAACCTTGCTTTTTTTCTTAATGGAACGGAATTTTAAAATTCATCTCAACACTTGCAGTTAAAAGTGCTGCATTATTACTGTACATTATAACAAGTACTTTCTATTAGATATACTTCACATATTTTATTTATTCCGTTTGCATTCTGCGGATTTTCATATTTTATAAATTTCTTACGAATACGAGACTAGAAGATCCACGCCAGCGAAGGAGTGGCCATTGTAATTACGGACAAATATAATTCTACTGAAATCCTATTAAATTCAAACTTAGAAGAATGCCACACCACAGAAACCCAAAGACAGAAATAAGGAATCAACGCAAACATAAACCTGACTTCTCAAAATGACATACAAAAAGAATTAAAATATCTCAGAAACATAAACTACTACACACATATCTAATGGCACCGTCGTCGCTAATGACCTCGCTGTCGATGCGACGTTAAAGAAAAATAGAAGAAGAAGAAATAGAAGAAGAGACTAAAGATCCATCAGTCTAATAATAACAATTATTGTCTAGGAGCAAATTTATCGTACGCATTATTTGGATCTAGGAGCAAAATTATCGTACGTTCTCTCTTACACCTTTCCTGTTTATGAAAAACTTCTTTATTCACAATTATTTTCTGAAAGTTTCCACCAACAAGAAGGAGCAGAAGAAATTTGACAGAAATTGTTTACAAATTTCCGAGATGGGTGCCGTACTATTTTTCTTTTATATAAATTTTAAACTTCACGAGACCATGTCCGTCTAATTTCCTTTCTCTTGTTTTTCAGTTGGTGTTTTGTTTAACGGTGGGAACCTACGCGAAAGAGAACGATGTAGTGATGGGATTAACTGCAGCTCTAGCCTGGGAATTGCCGAGCACAATCGACAAGAAGGTCTCGCAGTTGCTTCATCGAAGAAGCAGAAGCGCCATGTTCCCGAAAATAGAAGCTTTATTGCAATCGTAAGTAAGCCAATTTACTGCGAGACTTCAACTTTCAGTATGAGGAACATCCACGTTTGTTTCGTTGGAAGGAAGTTCGAGGGAGATCTGTTCTCACATTCGTTTTAAAATTTATACTTGAAGTTCTACGTGACCAATTTTCTTGTTTATTACACTTGGCTCCTCATCGCATCCAGTGTACAAACTCTTCCTTTTTACGTTTCAATACTCAATTGGTAATTTCCGTGGAGTTTTGTGCGCTGATTACGAATACGTGAACTGTTCCTCTTTGAAAATCAATTGAAAAAGAGAAAGAAACGTTTCGTTTCTCCTGTTTTGATTCTTTTGATTACAAGTGTTTCCAAATTTATAATAATATATATTTTCACAATATTGTAAACATTGTAAACACGTTAATAAATCTTTCATATCTTGACGGTGTTTAAAAGTATCGCTTTTGTATAGTGAGTGTAAACGCTTATATCATTTCGTGTGACAACAATTTTCTCGCGTTATTCAAAAAGATACGTAAAATGAACGTTTATGAATCGCTGGGAAATGGCAGGAGAATATTTGTACGTTCTCTCTTGCTCTGTATATGTACGCTGCAGTTGCACGCCGGTGCTTAACGCAACACATCAAATTATTCTACGATTTATATCTCTCTCTTTCCTAAATTTACAATTTGCTAAAAATGATCTGTCGACGCGAAAGTTTAACACGTTAATAATTATTCTGAAATTTATTTCCCCGTTTTCTAAATTTACAGCGCGCGAAAAACTTATCTATTGTCGCGAATGATTAATACATTAAATTTATTTCTCTCTTCCCCGAATTTACAGTGCACCGAACGAAAATTTAACGACACGGATATGGAAGTTCCAAACACGAGATCCATGCAACACATATCCTAGTCAATTTTCTCAAATTAACCAAGAAATCAGAGTATCAAACGGCGAAAGACGGTGACACTTCGAAGGATTTCCTTCATTCTTTTTTTTTTTTCTTCGTCTCTTTTCTCTGCTCCTTTTGCTTTTATCCGACGAGAGCTCGCTTCTCATCCGTCCTCGAAGCGTGACGTAACATGCAAATGGAACCCTTTTCCCCCGGTCACATGCAAATGCGTGGAAGGCGTAAGAGTTATCATGCAGTACGTGCGAGAATAACGAAACAGAAGAAACGCCTGGTTTGATTCCTCTTCTCGGTCCTTTTTTCCTTTTTCGTGATTTACGTATTTACGTTGCGACACAGATTAGACACAGTTGAATGCTAAATGAAAGAGTACAGCAATTGCTAGAATTATTCACAGCTTTTCAGTGAGTAAGTTAGTAAATACTACGAATAATTGCACTTTCATTTCTAATATTACAGATGATCTTTAGACAATTATCTTTATTCGATGAGCGAACACACGAAACGTGAATTACACACGTCGCTTTGATAGATATTTCGACTCGCCCGCGAAATATCAAGCTTTTAAAATGAAGATTTATCTGTAGCACTGGTCTGGATGGGAAGGCTTGCGTATTGAGAGCTTTATGCGAGGCTGCACAGAGGGATCCTTCAGATCTGGGGAAAGGAAGTCTAATTCAAGAGTTGCTGCACGCCATTTTTACGTGAGTATCACCTCTGTCAGTTCGATAATTTGTGATCACGAATTTTAAAATGATATATATATATATTTTTTTTAAATATATAATTTTCGAAAAAGGACCATATGAAGTCGTAATTTCAAATATATTTATACTTTCTCAATACTAAATATGAAATATTAAAAATTTAGAAAAGTATATTTATTTCTTTGTATTCATCATTATTATAACATACACATGTTCAATTTTTATCTTTTATTAGATATTCAAGTAGCCTGTGTTGGAGCATAATAATATTAAAAGTATACCAACGAAGTGAAAATTTTTCAAATAATTTATTTAAATGTAATTGAAATAAATGAAATGATACAAATTGAAGAGAATACACATTTGTATCGTTAAAAAAATGAAACAAAGAAACATTGCTAATAGAGAGAACCAGTTTCGAATGTACAGTGTATTCATGGCACATTAAACGCAGGAATCACTCTGTCGAAACATTCGTGAATTCAGAAATTTCAGAATTCTCTAGAAAAGAATCCCAGATCGAATAATGGCCATCGAAATTGCCGTTCATACTCATAATTGCATTAATGATGAATGCAAGAGAAATGAATGTGAAACGAAGCAGCGAATAACGTCTAGTAATTACATCGTTAATATTCATTGAAGTATTTGCGTTAATGTCGAAGCGGAACGGCGGATATCGTGAAAAAGGGGGGCACTATGTAATAACTATATTCGGTAACATCGATAGATCGATCTCACTAATTCAACGACCGTGAAACTAAAACGTCTGGCTGGCCAGTATATAATCAATTAAAGGGATTAATCAAGCGAAACGATTGAGTTAGGAATGATGCCAGATCCATGAAATCGGTTAACCACCGTTTGCCGAAGCGATTTAGTTGCATCGAATGAATCACCATCATCGCCGTTCCATTTCCAAAAGATCTTCTACCGTTGTAATCAGCTGACCTGCTTGTAAAATATCAGCATCGAGTAAAAGTATTTACCTTCTGTTTCACTATCGGCGAATACTATGAATTATTCACGAGACATTAAGTCGTATAATTTTGCATGGTTTATTGTGCAATTATATTGTATGATCATCGACGTCGTGTCATATAAGATCAATCACAAAAGTTTATGTATATGTAGAAAACTTCAAAACTGAAAATTCCGGGTTTCCGGACGCTTTACGGATCGTAATTAATTTTTTAATTAGAGTAGCTGAATCAATTTGAAGATATTGACTGTTTTTCATATTTATTGGGAAGATATACCAGAGTATTTTGTAATTTCTATATTTTATAAGTTTGATCTATAAATGTAAATTACTCGTAAACTATCTACTATGAAAAAAAAAAAAAATAATAATTCAGATAAGAAATAAATGCTGTTGAAAGATTTAGAATCTAGTTTCCAGTAGAAGCCACATGAAGATCACTTCTACTTTCTTTAAATGAAATGTTATATTTTTTAATGCACTAATCTATGTAGTTTCCATTTATTATATATATAAAATGTTTCTTACTTTTCTTTAAATATTTTGAAATTTTGGTAAATCCTTTCGAGTTTGAAATGTTATATAAACAATGCAATGTAACAATGTGAGGAAATATGAAGATTTCACGCTGCTTTTACATTTTTACAATTTTTATTTGCAGGTTATCGCGAGAGAAAGTAATTAAACAAATATTAATACATGTTGTAAGCTGATACGAAGAGTTGGACGATTGAGAGGGACAGGGAATTCAATTTTTCATCGCTGTCAATCTTCTGCCGACAGGCGAACGTTTCGAAATGGATTATTAACAGTTAACGGTTATATTGATTTTGAGTCCATTCTCGTTTTATAGCATAGTAACTGCAAATCCATTACTGTTCTTTTTGTACATCTATTTGTATTAGTATTGATATAACTTTTTCCATGAGGCTTCAAATGACGTATACCCTATGTTCACATAATATATTTTTCATTTGTAAATACCAGTAAGTTTAATTAGGAAAATTTGGAACATTCTATGTATAGAATTATTTCTACGTATATTTTGCTAACCCAAACCTAACCCAAACCTCTGCGTGTTTTTAATTAATTGCAAAATCTAGACACCCAATTTGTTAACTTCAGTGTTAATGCGATTAATTAAATTTTAATTTCGACGTCAGTCGTCTGTCTTTCAACTTTTCCACGGATAAAGCGAAAATTAACAATATGATGTAAATTGTTGTAGTCACTTATAACCCAACGATCGCTAAGGTACTAAATTCTAGATTATTTTTCACATTATTTTCAAAGATATCCTAGATACATGTCCTTTCTCGAACGAATGAATATAATTAATAGCAAAAATATAGTGTCGCTGTAATCAAGCAAAGTCAGCAAAAAATATAGTAGCGTGTACGAGAGATAAGAGAATCGGCCTCAGGTAACTTCCGCCGGAAGAGGCACGTCAGGGACATCCGAAATTGAAGCCGGATCTTCACATTGCCTCGTCAGGGCAATCTCGTCTCGTCAGTTCCATCGTCGGCTACCTTAAAATCCTATTTTTCCTTTTCCCGCAGGTTACCCACGGACGGCGGACGTTTCGAACGATCGGAGGACCAGGCTTACGAGCACGCGTACGAGACCAGGGAGGATTGCGGCCATCTTTATCCGACCTGTCGCTACTCCATTTACGAGCTCGAGTTCTGAGGCCGAAGCAACCAGCAATTGGACGCATTCGTATGCGTGTGCAAACGTTGACCGCGTTTCACTGGCGAACTCTGCCGTCTCTCCTTCCTCTCTCTCTCTCTCTCTCTCTCTCTCTCTTTCTCCTGGAACTACTCTTTCTGGCTACTCGCCCGTTCCACGCCGATTTTTCAACCCCTGGACCACCCCAGCGCATAATCTTCCGTTGCATGACGGAACTCGGTCCGCACGATCGTGTTTGCCAACTTGCGCGGATCTTCGCATCTCGCCTCTTATTTTGTTCCATTTGACTAGTGGCTTTGTGCCGCGCAGGAGGACGATGTTCTCGGGCAAACGAGATGCTTTCTAGGATGATTGGTAGTGGATTTCCGAATGTGGGACAGTAGATTCTGTGATGCGTTATGCTGCGTAGAAACAAATGCACGGAAGAATCTCCCGTTTGGCTGCAATTCTTAAGTTCCCCGAGTTCGTTTTGTCGTTTTATCGTGAGGGAGAAATAATATCTGCATTTGTAAATTTTGTTTAAATTTGTTGATTATCATGTGAGTTTTTCCAATAATAATCTGAGATAGAGTTGTAATGATTTTTTATCCCTACAATCTGATGTGTTTAGATAATGTGTTTTACTTTCATTTATCAATTGTAAAAATTATTAGTAATATATTGCTTATTTTATTAGGTACCTAATATAATTGTAGTATCCAATATTATACTTTACCAATTATATTCATTTATTGAAAACGTAAATGTTTAGGAAAGAAGAAGCGCGTTAAATATTTTTAAAGGTGCGGTAGGAATTAAATGCGGCAGCCAAAACAATTTGTATGTACCAAATCTACTTTTAAAAGCTTTACTTGTAATGAAGATTGATTCATTGCCTATGATTAATTTATTTTAATTTGAATCTGAAATTGACACAAATACTTTTAGATCAGAAAACTTATTAGAAATAATGTCATCCCATGCACTAAAAATTATTCAAAATAAAAAATCTAAATTGCAGCTTTCTGCAATTGTGTATTTAATTATTATTATTAGATTGTTAGAATCTATATCGATTTAATAAATTGATTTTATCCATGATATTATAATAAACACTTTACTTCAGATGTTTCATGTATTTTTCACATCATGTGTATTGTATGCATTTTTGCACCTTGAAATTTTTCATAAATGCATAAAAATTTGGTATTTAATTATCATCAATCTGTAAAGCAGTAGAAGTTCTATCATTAAAAAGGAGTGTTGCGGTTAATTAATCTTCATTACAAGTTTTTAAAAGTTATTTTAATGTATTCAAATTGTCCCCACTGTCTCATACATTTTTCATATCACTTTTATGCAATGTAATCGGCAAAAAGTAGAGTCGAGTGTTGCATGAGTCCCTTAGTTGACAAGTGAATTAAAGCCCCTTTCCTTAATATTGTGAAAATTGGACTTTCATGAAATACTTTATAACAGATTAAGTAAAAAGTAAAGCTTTACTGTAAGAAATGAAAACTTACGATAACACAACATAAAAGGAAAATTACAATACGTTTCTTTCAATGGTAAACTAACAGTAACGTAATGGACGATCAAGTGACATTTGTTTATGTTGCAAAAATTGACTGTTATTTTTGTTTAAAATGAAAGAAAATATATAGAAATTGAACAAGTACTTTTGTTTCTGTAATAAACTCATTATTAGTTAAGGGGTTCATGTAATATTCCTGAATTTGAGAAACAAATGAACTTGTTACATAATCTAATATAACATTATTATTATATTACAATATTATATCATATCATTTACAATTATTTTACTATTATATTTAACTATTACATACAATCTAATATCATAATATCATTGTTTTAGAATAAACGTGAAGACGAATATAAAATACAGAATGACTTGAAAGGGTATTAAAGCTCTAAAAAACGAAATTTTAACTCGCGATTCTAATATCACTAATTGCAAGCTATGTAACTATTGTATGCTAATGTAACTATTACATCAGTCGGAAATAGTACTTAGAGCCATGATTCTGTATCGTGATGAGACAACTCACTGCTGTGTCTTCAGAAATTTGTCGTTTCTTTCGTTTACGTTAGCGAAACGATAATGCTCGAGACGATTCGTTTTTCTTTCGCTTGGTATTCTACGCGGTTCGTTCAACGATTTCGCGGTTGAATTTCAAACATTTCACGGTCGACCTTTCGCCGGTCGTATATTTCATCGGGCGTCGGTATATCGCGGCGAATGTCACCATCCGGGGCGTCACGTAATTCGTTTTGCATTAACAAAATGGTCAACCGAGTGACCGCGGATTTATAGTTCATTTCAGTGGAGTGCCGGTGAACTCGCCCCTTCATTCTCAACCCCCTTTTACAAACGAGCTAGACGGAAAAATGAGAGAAGAGAAACAAAATGATAGATGAGAAACAAAAAGAATAAGGGAGAGGGGAAAGAAGTTAAGGGAAAATGAAGTAGTATTGAGAAAAAAGAAGGGACGAAACGTCACCTGTGTTATTTAAATGTCCAATATTTAAAGTATCACGGCTAAACGTACTTCTGGTGTTTTATTAATTCGTTAACTCGTGCGCTGCATCGTGCGTGGAACACCGGTTTCAACGGGGAGTAGGGGGAAAAAAAAAAGAATCGAAATTTCCACTCGGTTTCCTTGAATAAAATAGCCTCGCTGTTGTAGTCTGTTTTTTTTTTTCAACGATTGTTTTAATCCGGTTTGTGTAGAATTTTTATTCAGATCCTGTTGTCAAAATTAAAAGGGAGTAATGCCACGATGATGAAAAAACGATGACGGAAACAGAGAGTTAACTTTTTGTAGGCCAGAAGAAGAAATCAAAAAATACGAATACTAATTTCCGTTTAATCTGTTTTTTTTTACGTTTATAGTGATAATTGTATTTGCAATGTCGTTGCGTGATTTCTCATTGAAACTATTGAATGGCTTCGTAATGAATTCAAAAGACCATAGACAGTCAAATGCGTTTAGAGCAGTTTGATAACGAATTAACCCTCCAATTATGCGATTCCGAATGTTAACGCAACGAGATGACGTTACTTTTTCTTTTTTCTTTTAATATTAATTGAAACGTTGTGATATCACGTAAATGGCGATGATACTCGTATCGCCGGGTCGATATAGGCCAGCTGAGTCGGTGCCATGCAAATGCATTCATTGGTAGAATCAAGATAGAAATTCGAATGGGATCTTGTTTTCGTCGTTCTCTTTTTCATTTGATAAAAGCTCGAATAAAATTTTATTCGCACGAATAGAAAGGATAGAAGACGTATACCAACAATATAAAAACGCTTTGTTACTGATATTTAAATTAACGACGCGAAAATATAAGAGGATTGGAATATTTTAAAACACGCTGGAAAAAGCGATCTGAAGTCATACGATCTGAAATAAAGTTTGAGTCCGTAATGCACATTCTACCCTTCTTTTCTCTCAGAGTATCCTCTAGCATTCTTTCGTAGAAAGCTCTTAAGGAAATTGGAATAAAAAGGTCATTTTGTTCAAAAGCTGTTCCCGAAATTGTTTTAAAAAATTCAGAATTACTCGCGAGGAAGTTACACACCGATAGTGCTTAAGAAAGGGATGAAAATGAGATTCATCAGCCCGCTGATGTGAAAGAATTTTCTCTGTAATTATTCTTAAAATTAAAAGTCGCACAGTAGGATAAATTTTCGCGATTCGCTATTATTAGGTCACATTATACGTAATTTTTCAATTTTAAATTACAAGCATTCGAATTATTTTTCATGGAATGTATTATAATTAGAAAATTACTGATAAATCAAATTGATGCTTAAAATGATCAAACCTTGTAGAATTATTTCGTTATCTGATGGCTCTTTATCTCTAGATTTTTTAATTCCTTAATGAAAAATTAAGAACATTTTTACCAAGAAAAAGGTAATGGAAAGCAGCCAGTAAACATAAATATAATATTACATAACATACCTTACAAGACACAGTTTGTCAAAAATATTCTAATTTAATTTGACTCTCAACTTTAAAAGTAATTATGAACAATTACCATACTTTTTAACAATTTAAAGCCACAAAAATGTAGTAAAATTCTACTTGTAATTATTACAAAGTTGTTGCTGATAAAGTGTCAATTTTTAATATAGATTTCAACGTCTATAGCTTTCTTGAAAGTATTAATAAAATTCCGATTCCCTAAATTCGATGGATTCTATCGAGTATATTTTAAAACAATTTGTATTTGTATTGAAATGATGATACATTCGAAAACAATTTTGTAATTATTACGATAGATCATGATTAAATAGTAGATTGAATATATCGTTTAATTCTTCTTTTAATGTAGCTTTACCTATATTAATGTAGCTTAAACCTATATTAGTATTAGAAGTAACTTTTACTTCATTATACATAGTTTGAAACTTTACAGAATAGTCTATTAGTCATTCATCGATACATAATGTGTCTTTTGATAATACATTAATTATCGAAATATCACTTATGTTGAATTTCAAATTCAAATTGAGCTTCAAATCGATATTCAATCGAAAAACACTTTTTAGCGTCTATGTGCAATTTTAAATTACGTTATGAATCATTCATCATCTATATCATTAATAAAGTATGACAGTCTATTAAAAGTTTCACCTTAAACTCTTACAAATCAACACAATCGTTTCCTACTTTCTCTCTTGACTTTCCATTCATCTTTCATCAAAATTCCCATCGCCTGCAGCTTCTATTATTTCAACTGAACTCGAAAAAAGAAATCTCATCGTTCGCCGGGCGACCCAGTTTAAATTGGTTATACAAGTGGTTCGAAAGGAGATTTATACTACAATTATGAAAAAATACCGCTAATCAAAACAGCAAACTTTCGAAAATTCTCGACAGTAGCTCGTAACAGTAAAATGCACGATTATGCTACGGTAAATCTTGATACTCTGGTCGACAGTTTAGTGAAAGAAAGAGAGAGAGAGAGAGAGAAAGAGAATGAAGATATGTCGCAGTCGTTAAAAAAAAAAAAAAAAAAAAGAGAGAATCTCGCAATTTCGTACAGTTTCAACTCAGGTGGTCAGTTTCAATTATATTTTTTGGCCAGCGGGTCTGTGAAATTTTACGAGCGCGCTAGGTTGGAAAGGGTGCCATCTATTTCCATCGTTCTAATTACTTGGTGAGCTCGCGGAACGATGATCAGCGCGATCTTCCCCTCATTTCTATTGATCTCTCCTGGCCGCGGATCGTATCGCGTAATTCATTTCGGCTTGCCGATGCGACGCCGACCGAGAACACGCGAGCCCTCGCTATTTACGCGGCCAACACCGGCGAAAATCCATTTGCGTTATTCATTCAACGCGGCCTGCTATTGTGCGCCCGATTTCGATTAATATTTTAACGGGCGACGCTTTTTAATATTTTCGCTTCGCGTAATATCTATGTCGAAAATACGGAACACGATGGTCTTTCGAGCGTGATGATCATCCTTCTCGCCTGCGTTGACGTTTCGCGACGTGACGTTGTAATTAAAGGGAGACGAGAGGGGTGATTGAGGACGTGGATAAGAAGGGCGTGTTTCATTCAGAGCCTGTTAGGTAATTCATCGGTAAGGCTGTCTAACAGTGTCTTGGAGTTATGCACGTAAAAGACGGTGCAAGA